CTCTGCCCTATAAAAGAAAACCAAGCATTTCATCTAGCCTTATCCAAAGAAACTGAAGTCTATTGAATGCTGGAAAAATACTGAATTTACTGCAAGTTACATCACTTTCCAAAATGTCATGTCGTTTTAAGGGATTTTCAAAGACAATTTTGAATATACGTGGTTCTTTATGTGCCAAATTTAGAACTCTACCTCCCACATAAGATGTGACTGACTTGAAGATAATAGGCATTATTTGTTGCCAACCTGGCATTAACTACTTTGTTCTTTCTCTCTAACAAATCCTTATTTTGTTCAGGTATCTACTCCTCATATGACTAAAGAGAAAATTATCCTAATACCCTTCGCAGGAATAAATCTTAATTTTCCTAGGCTCATCACGACAGTCAGCCCCCTTGCCAGCGGTTTGTTTGAGACTGGTTGGTCGAATAACCCAATTCTGACCTATGAGATTCAAGATGAGGCCAGTTGAGGAGTTTCTGGAAATATTTCCTTGATTTTTAGGCAGGGACGGAGACAGGGAAGAGGAACTATTGTTCCTCTTCTTCCTAAGCATGTTGTTGGGTCTAGCTGGGACCCCAACAGTCACTGCCATCTCTCTACCAGTCCTCTTAAGATGTCAACATCAAAAGTGGAAGGCAGCACAGGGGGATGAATCCTAGGTCTTTGAAGATATTGCTCAGTTCTTGAATCAATGAATTCTGAAGTCTCTTTTCTTCTTCTTAGATAATATATCAGTAAGCTTGGGCTGTCATAACAAAATACCATCGACTGGCTGGCTTAAACACCAGAAATTTATTTCTCTCAGGTCTAGAAGTTGGGAAGTCTGAGATCAAGATACTCACTGATTTGGTTCATGGTAAAGACTCTCTTTCTGGTTTGCAGATAGCTCACCTTCTCACCTTCATAACTCTCCTCATTTGGCCTTTCTTCGGTGTGTGCGCCAGAGTGGAGAGGGACCTTTCTCTCTTCCTTGATTTATATGGCCACCAATCCTATTGGATTGAGAGCCCACCCCTATGACCTCAGTTAGCCTTAGTTACTTCCTAAACGTCCTCTCTCCAAATATAATCACATTGGGGCTTAGAGCTTCAACATATGAATTTTGGGAGAATGCTATTCAGTTTATATCAGGTAATCAAATAAATGTCCTTATGTTGTTTAAGGAAGCTTAAATTGTTTCTTTTTCTACTATACATTACTAAATACATCCTTACAGATATCAGGTCTTATGAAGCAATACACAAAGGATAATATCTAAATCATGACATATAACATGAGAGGATCAAGGGCTATTTTCCTTCCTTAGAACAAAGCAGTTGTAGAGTTAAAGATGGTTAGTCCATTTCTGGTCAAGGTAGCAGCGTAAGTAAACACTGCTTGCCTCCTCACACAACCACATCAAAATTACAACTAAAATATAGAACAACCATCACTCAGAACTGTCAGAAATCTAGTTGAATGGAAGTCTGACAACTACAGAATTAAAGAAACCACATCCATCCAGACTGGTAAGAGGGGCAGAGACATGGAATGGGCTGGTCTTGCATCCATGTGTGATGATTAAAAGTTTGGGAGGGATATCTCAGGAGTGAGGAGTCCCAGCCCCACACCAGGCCCCCTAGCCCAGGGATGTATTAACAAAATACATCCCCATAACTTCTGGCTGCAAAAAGCAGTAGGGATCAAGTCAGTAGAAGAAACTTCTGGAGTCCCCAGCAGTTCCTCTTAAAGAACCCACACAAAGACTTACTCAGACTCACTCCTTCTGAGCTCCAGCACTGGAGTGGCAACTTGAAAGGAACTAGTGGCACACAGGGAGAAACTGAAATGTCTGATATCAAGGCAGGAACTATGGACAGTTTTTCTGAGACAGAAGAGCAGGCAGAGGCCAATGTCCCTTTTCTGAGCCCTCCCTTGACAGAGCCACAGAGCTGGTAAGTGGGGGCCATATCTAAGACTCTATCAACTCCGCTAACACTGTCTGCCCCACCCTGGGGGTCCCTTGAGATTTTTTCCCACCCAACTTATGGGTCTACCCAAGTTGTTAACTGTGACTTTTCCATATGAGTGGCTGGTCTTGGCTCATGCTTCACAACTTCCTAAATCCTATCAATAAGCAATAGCAAAGTGGCCCCAGACCTGGCACCAGCAGCAACCAGCCCAGATTCACAGCTTGGCTTCACCTGGGAATTTCCCAGACCAGCACATGTATTTAAGATTGCTTTATAGCTTATGCAGGGTGGCCATGGGAAAAACAGGTTGGGGCTGACCTTGGCCTGCTCCACCCAAGAAACTGTAGAGCCTGCACAACTGGTGGATAGCTACAGACCATGTTGGAGCACCACCACCCTACTCCTGCACAGCCAATCCTCCATGGAGGGTGCAGGTTGGTGGTCAGTAGTCACAGCCAGTCCTTGTACCTGATTGGCTAGGGTAAATCCCTCCCATTGATCTGCCAACACCAGTCAAGGCTCAACTACAAGAGGAGGGTGTATTCAGCCTACACAAAAGAGCATGACTCAAGTACCCAGCTTGGGTGATAGGGGAGGCTGTGACACTGGATCCTACAGGACACCTATTATATTAGGCCATGCTACAAGACACAGAGTCATATCACCTCTATCTAATACATAGAAACAAACACAGGAGGTTGCCAAAATGAAGAAACAAAGAAACATGGCCCAAATGAAAGAACAGATCAAAATTCCAGAAAAAGAACCAAAGGAAATGGAGATAAGCAATCTATCAGATACAGAATTCAAAACACTGATTATAAGGATACTCAAGGCACTTCATAAAGACCTCAACAGCATAAAAAAGATCCAGACAGAAATGAAGGATAGACTAATTGAAATAAATAACAATTTACAGGGAAACAACAGTAGAGTGGATGAAGGTGAAAGTCACATCAATGATTTGGAAGATAAGGAAGCAAAAAACAACCAGTCAGTATAACAAGAAGAAAAAAAGAAACCAAGGAAATGAGGATAGTATAGACAGACTCTGGGACAACTTCAGGAGGTCCAATATTTGAATGATAGGCATGCCAAAAGGAGAAGAGAAAGAGCAAGAGATTGGAAATCTATTTGAAAAAGTAATGAAAGAAAACTTCCCTACTTTGGTGAAGGAAATAGACATTCAAGTTTAGGAAGCACAGACAGTCCCAAGCAGGATAGATGCAAAGAGGCCCACTCTGAGACACATCATAATTAAAATGCCAAAGGTTAAGTTTAAAGAAAGAATCTTAAAAGCAGCAAGAGAAAAGCAATTATGTACAGGGGAGTTCCCATAAGACTGTTAGCTGATTTCTCAAAAGAAACTTTTCAGGCTAGGAGGGATTGGGAAGAAATATTCAAAGTCATCAAAAGCGGGGACCTACACCCAAGATTGCTCAACCTACCAAAGCTATCATTTAGAATAAAGGGCAGATAAGGAGCTTCCCAGACAAAAAACAAACAAACAACGCCCCCCCCAAAACTAAAGGAGTTCATGATCACCAACCCACTATTATATGAAATGTTAAAGGGACTTATTTAAGAGAAAGAAGAAGATCAAAACTATGAACAATAATATGGCAATAGATACATATCTATCAACAACTAAATCTAAAAAACAAGCTATGCAAACAAGAAGAACGGACAGAATCATGGATACGGAGAGCATTTTGATGGTTGCCAGATGGGAGGGGAGTGTGGAGTAATGGGTGAAGAGGTGAGGGGATTAAAAAGTACAAATAGGTAGTTACAGAATAGCCATAGAGATGTAAAGTACAATAAGTACAGTATAGGAAATGGAGTAGCCAAAGAACATGTACTTGAGACCCATGGACATGAACAATGGTGTGAGGATTGCCTGAGGGAGTGGGGGGTGCTTGGTGGAGAAGGGCAAGGGAAAGGAAATTGGGACAACTGTAATACCATAATCAATAAAATATAATTAAAAATAAAATAAAATAAAATTTAAAGAAATGATTAGTCCATTGTTGTTACAGGGCATTTCATGAACTGCTGATTGTACACATATGTGGTATCATGTTAATGTAAACAGTCCACCACTTAGGGAGTTTTAAGTTATAAAAGAAACATTTTTCTAAGATCATGTGCTTTGATATAAAAACATACTCCAGCCTGGTTCCACCACTGTAAAGTTCTGGCAAGCCAGAAGACAAGAGTTGATGATTATGTCAAGCAAGACTTCTAACTAATGGCTCAATGAAACCATCACTGTATCATAAAACACTGTAACAGTTGGAAATGGCAATCCCTTTCAAGAATTCTGTAATTTTAGATTATTACACTTTATTCCATAAAAAGCAGTAGCTCAGCGATCACCACAATGCTACAAACAAGAATGCACTTCACCTTTTTGCCTGAAATGAATCAGTTATGCTTATTCTTGCAATTCAAGTATAAGTTTTATAACTATCTTCAACACAAAGAATGGAGTGCAGATTTTATGGCATTCTAGTAAAGCTCGTATGAAACATTTTACCTATCATTAAGTTACATTGTATACAAAGTAATTTTACGTAGTCTCCCAGAAGAAAATAAGTAAAATGATATTAAAGTGAAGGATTTTCATAACAGCATAAAATTTACCTTTTTCTCCCCTAGCCTGGGAAGAAGAAACAAGAGCACACTTATCAAATTTTTTTAAAACACAAACTCAGCCAAGAAACAAATGATGAGAAATACATTTGCATGTAGATGAATCCATTTTAAAGCCATGGATCTTGGGCCATTTTGAAATCTTAAACCTTCCGACACCATTTTCATGAACTCAGTAATACAAACCATGTTGTGAATAATTTTTCTGAAAAACTGCTGGTTTCACTGTGTATTTTATTATTAGCCAAATAGGACATTAAATTTTATCCCCCGTGGCTTGGAGTTAAATGCTTGCTCTGTGCAGAATGGCAACACTCAATTAAACCGCATTTTTCATGATCTACACCCACCATTGTTACTGTATTTAAGGGAAATAATGAAGGCACTGACCTATATTGCGTTTCTTATTATCAATGGAGATGAAGCGTATGCAGGGATTACTGGTGATGTACTGCCCAGCCCAAGGGACATCAATCTTCGTGCCAGCTTCATAAAAGAGGCCCAGAGCGTAGCGAGAGGAGTAGCTCACCAACTCCAGTTGCTCCCTTTGGCATTCACTAATTACTGTGGAAGAAAAAGCACAGGGCATCAAACTTGCAAATATCATCTTTCCTTTTAGTACATCAAATACAAAAGTCCTTTAAACTAGTTCCAACAGCTTCCACCAATTCCATCTCACTTATAATGAATTTTGAAAGGTAATGTGAAATAGCATCAGCTTTTATTTCTTTCAGAATGATTACTGACCTTGGCACAATTATTTTTACCACGCTGAAGGTCCAAACTCTTTAGACTGGCATTCAAGGCTCTCAAAATTTGGCACCAAGTTGCTTTTCTAGCTTTGTATCCTAATTATTATCCTGGGACTGTCTGGCCACATTATAGATTCCATATACTGAGCACTTACTATGAATCCAAGTCTTTGCCAAACACCTGACACAAGGATTTCACTCTGTCCTCACAACTGCTCTGTAGGGTACAGTGTTTTTCCTATTTGACAGCCGGGGAGACCGATGCCCCATCTTTCAAGGACCTCTTAAATTCTTCCATGTCACATAGAGATTTGTTGGCTTGTCATCTTCCTGTCAATGGATTATAATAGTTCCTTAAGTACAGGGACCACACCTTAGTCATATTTGTTATAGACCTCCACCCTCCTCATTATAGGCACACCAAGGATTGAAGTATAAAAGTATAAAAAGGGAAACACAGACCTGCAAAGCTAGTTAAAATACAGGAGGTAAATAATTAACAAATGGAAAAAAGACTGGGAAACAAATTAGGTAGGTTTGGGTTCAAATCCTGATTCTGTCACTTACTTAATCATTCAGTTAGAGTGCTCTCGTCTATAAGTGGCAGCACTAGTACAGGGTGTCTGAGTGTGCTGTGAGGATTACATGAATAATGCATAGCTCAGTGCTTGGCACAGGGTATGTGTTCATGAGATAGGCACTTTTTCTATTAGAGAGATGAAATTATTTAGGAAAATGGGACAATATTTCATCCTGGGGTGGAAAAGGAAATTTCCTTCACATGTGAATCTCCATGTCCAAACTCTTTATCTTAAAGGGTCTCAGGGAGCTGCCTGTTCATATATGTACGGCATTAATAATTTGCATTTCAAAGAAGGCCATAGTTCTATTTTAAAGGTCTATACAGGCAAATTCAGAAATGCAATATATGAAACATTTTCATTAAGTTGGTAAAAAATATCCTAAATAAAAAGACTGATAGACGGACCTCAAGGATGACAGCTAATTTTAGCTAGACCTTGGAGAAGTGATTTTAGGTGGTCAAGAGAAGGCAAGAGGGGTATTTAATGAAGTATTTAAGCACAGCAATAATCCTACACATTATTATAACACATTCCTGGCTACAAAACATTTGTAGAACTAAGACCCCATTTAATCTTCACAAAAGCCCTGCAATGGTAAGTGTATTTACCATCCTCATTTTACCTCCCTAGGAAGCTGAGATTCAGCGTGGTCAAGAAACTTGCCCTAGATTACACAGCTCCCAACTCACAGGGTCAAGATGAAGCCACAATCACTGCACCGGAGTCACGCACAGGAACTCATTACTTTGTGCAATCTGCCACCCCCCCACTGCACACGCCCCTGATCTGTAAGTCTGACCTTCAAAATGAACTTTGGTATTGCTTTCTCCTCAGACATTAATGATTACTTTGCACATGGAAGTCTAAGCCATCACTCCCTTTGACCATCATTTCCTGCTTATTAAAAGATATTAACTGCTTGATAAACAAATGATCTTCTGACATTGGCCTCATTACACTCAATGTGTCTTGGGCTTCATTTGATTATTTGATCTGTTTTTAAAGTTCTGGCTTGATGTTATGCTTGACTGCTTTCCTAGGGGGAGGAGGTGACGAAGACTAATACCAGCAGTTGAGCACATATTGGAGTCTTAGTGATATCACTAAGTTTCCCAGTTTTTCGATTAAAAAACAAACCAACAAAACTGTGGAGTCAGCTATTTAGTAAGTGAAAGGGCCTAAAACTCCTTTTTTTTTTTTTAAACACAAAGTGAAGGTCAACTAGGTTGACAACCAAATGGGACCTTCCGCTCTCCCCACATGCACATTTGCACATTTAGCTAGTTTTTAGGCAAGCTGCTGAGTGGCAAATCCCACAGGGTAGCCCTTTGAAAAGGTAATTGATATCTATATAGAAACAGAAATTAACCTCAAACACCCTTGCATGCTCTGGGGGCTCTCCAATTCATTCTGAGAACAAGGAGGTGAGACTTCTGATGGAAACGGTCTCAATTTCTGGACATATTCACTTACCAAAAGTTCATTTTCAGGGCCTTAAAAGTTTTTGATTCTTGCCGGACCTAACAAAATGTTCTGATTTTGCTTGAATTTTTTTTCTTTGAAAGTTTTTCTTATGCAAATGCCAGAGGGAACATCCCTGGGCCCCAAATATATACATTTTTAGCAAGAAAAATGGTATATTCTTTACTATCATGTATTTGTACTAACACGTGTTATTTATCCTAAAATAATTTCTCACATAAAAATGCCCAATTCAACATATGAATCTTTATCTGGATGTCCTAATTACATCCTAATTTAATTCTGAACCACTAGGATCATACACTCTCTGTAACTATGCACACATGTACTTATAATATTGAATATAGGTTTCGACCTTGATGTGAGTAAAGTGGCTATAAATTGTAGTGAACAGGGTACTTTACACTCCCTACTTCTATCCATTAGAAGAACTGTCCTTATTCCGTTCTCTTTGTGACTATGCCTGTGTGTGCATGTAGTGTGCGTGTGTGGGAATGGGGGAGGTGGAGGACAGAGGGAGAAACAGGAAGTGGTGGAGGGAGAGAAAAAGAAGGCCTGACTGTACTCCTGAGAACGCCCTCAAGTAATTTCATTCTTTGTTTTCTTACCTATCAAAGAGGCTAAACATACACATTTTGTCTATTTTCTATGTTTTTTGGTGAAAATATTCATTCATTCATTCTTGACTTTATGCCAAGCACTGTTCTAGATGGCAGGGATAAAGCAGAAAGATAAAGGCCCTGCTCTCACGTTACTTATATACTAGTGGTAGAAAGACCAATGATAAATAAATAACCTACTAAATGGTGTGTCTGTTGGTGATAAGAACTATAAGGAAAATAAAGCAAGGTAAAGGGATAAAAGTGACAGGTATGGGTAGTGAGGCTATTTTAGATAAGCTGCCAGGGGTCTAAGTCTCCTCTGAAGATTTTATCTTGACTTACATGTGAAGTTACTACCAGTTATGAGCAAAGAACAGACATGACCCAGATTCTGTTTTAAAAATAATAATTTTTAAAATTATTATTGCATCCCTGGCTACAGAGATGCAACAGGGGAGTTAGGGCAGATAGCTCCACAGCAGTCGCAGACTAGGGAGAACAGTAGAGGAAGTCAGGAGTCACTACATTTTAGATGGAATATATGAATATGAGTGTGTATAAGTAAATACATTTACATTATAATTTACATATATGTCTGCATTACGTGTTCATATATATGTCACACACATATATATAAAACTATACCTAATATAACTTTTGATGTTTAACATACACACAGAAAAGTATGCCTTGATGAATTTTTAAAAGGGAACATACCAGTGTAATCACTAGTTATATTAAACAACAGATCATTCAGTGATCCTGAATTCTAACACTATAGATTAGTTTAGCTGTTTTTGAATGCCACATATACAGAATGATGTGGTATGTACCCTTTGTGTCTGGCTTCTTTTACTTAATATTAATGATTGTGATATTTATACATGTTGTTATGTGTAGTTGTAGTTAATTGTAGTTAACGTGGGAAAGTATTGCTTCCATGTATATACTACACTGTATTTATCCATTCTACTGCTGATGGACATCTGGATTGTTTATAGTTTTTGGAAATTACAAATGTAATATGAAGAACATCTGTATGTGTTTCTCTTGGGTACATATACCTAGTACTGGAATTACTGGATTGTGGGGTTTGCTTATATTCAGCTTTAGTTGATACTGTCCTCTACTTTTCTAAAGTGATTGTACCAATTTCTACTTTCACTTGGGGTATATGAAAGTTCAGTTGCTCCATATCTTTGTCCAACTTCACTACTATCTGCCTTTTATTTTGGGATGTAGTACTTACTATTACGTGGTGGTTTTAATTTGCATTCCATGATGACTAACATTTGGAAACCTCTTTCAATGTTTATTTGCATATCCTTTTGTGATCGCTTGTTCAGATCTTTGCTCATTTTTCTTTTGGGCTGTCTGCCTTTTTCTTACTGCTATTTAGGAGTATTTTAGAGATTCTGGGTATGAGTCATGTATGTACAGTAAAACTTTCTTCTCCTTAGTGGCCTGCCTTTTCACTCTCAAACACATGGTTTGATGAACATAGTTCTCATTTAATTTAGTACAATTTATCTTTTTTTTTCATTTTAGTGAGTACACTATTCTGTTTAAGAACTTCTTGTCTACTCTAAGGTCTTAAAGATATTTTCTTATTTTTTTCTTTCTGAAAGCTTTATTCATTTACCTTGCACAGGGTTTTGCATATATTTTTGAATATTAAGCAGCCAGGATTTCTGTTGGCTTGGAAAGGTGGTGTGAGGCCCCCCAAAAATCAAATGAGAAATAGATAGAGTGTTACTTCTCATCTACTCTAGTGAAATAGTAACAGCTTTATTGTTCCATAATCGTTGCGGTTACAATAGAAAAAGAAGACTAGAAGTAGCCTGAGACAAAGACTGAGACTCATAAGCTTTGTGTGTCCAGGATCCCAGGACACTGCCTGGTATGACGTGGGCTTTCAGTAAATGGTAATGAATACATCCTCATTGTAGAGTATTGGAGAGCACACAAAGGCATAAAGAGACAAAAGGAAAAATAATCACCATATTCTCATTAGCCAGAGAAACAAACAATGATTAACATTTTGGCATTTTCCTGATTTTTTTCTTTAAACATGGCTGTGCTCATATAGTACATACAATTTTGCAAAGTGCATTTTTGCTTAGGATATGACAAAAACTCCTCAT